ATCATCACCTCCACCTCGTAGCCACGCTACGTTACAACACCATACGACAATTATTTGGCGAAGTGCAACTAAAGGCGTTCACACCTTTTCAACCTTGCCACTTCCCAATACTACTCACGGTACCCCATGGCACGCCTTCTCCGGCTGTCACACCAGCCTCAACACAACATCATACACAAAATAATACACAGACATCCATATACACACAACACTCGCACACACCCAACACCCAGTGAATTTACAGATACACGATACGTACATAACAACGTTCTTTCCAAAGCTTCAACTTTTCTACGCGACCTTATTTACCTTATGGTCCGCGAAGAATCATGAAAGATCAAATCCCAAACATTGATCAGTCATCCATTTGAATCACACCAGGATTCAAAGGCTCGATCTTGTCTCGGCGTGACACACGCCCCCATGAGACCAAGATAGCCGCTAGCCTCACTACCAGGCATAAGCTTGGATCACGTGTTCCACTACGCAGTAGCTCGTGATCAAACCGGTGTTTCCCCCGTCTTATCGCGCTGCTACTCTCGCACAGAGGCATCCCATACTACCTTATGCAACAGTCTGCAGACGCGATACATTCACCAAAACACGACAATTACACTTTCATTCACTCACTAACAAAAGAGTAATATACGTAAGAAAAACAAATAATACCAGCCACCTATATGACGATACATACACGACAGTAAGATGAAGCCCTTTGTTACAACCGGGCCACACCCTATCACAAGTATACGATACTTACAATTTCCATTTACTCATAAAAAAAAACTCACACCAGAAAATAAACTATATACACAAGCGGCAAATTCCGTCGACCATCGTAATAAGCATATCAGACTTAATTTTGAACCGAAATAGAGAACCAAGAATTTTGAAGCCAAACGAAGCCTAACGCACGTCTGCTTATGATGACAGTCGAACCGGAAAGAGAAAGACCCAAGCCAGGTCAATCCTAATCACGCGTCTTCCCGAGCCTGAGACATGAAGAGGGGGGAAAGAAGCTAATTGGTTCGTAGTGACGTAAGGGAACATAGAGGATTATGCTAGCTGGATCATCGTCTTGCGGTACTTCACCTTCTCGTGGCCAGCCAAACACAGTTCAAGCGCCGGCCGCCAGAGGTCATTGAGGCCCTGAACCTTAGAACGGTTCAAGTGTGAAGAGAAGTGTGAATACACTTTGAGAACATTAGGAGAATGTAATTTCATATCTTTTGAAATAGTCCGTTACAATGTCATTAGGTTTATCGGCCAGCTTCGTCGCGCAACTGTTCTAACCTAACCTAACCTTTGTTGCAGGGTGCGGAAACGGAAAGTACCTGAACGTCAATCCGTCAGTGTTCAAGATCGGAGTGGACCGGTGCAAGACTCTTACAGAAACAGCTCGAGAGAAGGAACACGAGGTACGAGAATGCTGAATACAAGGATTCATTCTCTTGCAAATTATTTACTTAATACGACTTCGGTTTTCGGGGACAAGCCGCATCGAGAGTTGAAGGTTGTCAAACGTTCCGAAAACAATGTAGCTGATATCTTCACATATTCAACCTAAAGACGGTTGCTGAGATGTCGGGCAACCTTAAATAATCGACCAGGTTCAACCCCAAAAACCAAAGTTTCAAACTGAACTCCATCACCGAAAACCTATTTACATATCTATTCTAATTTTAAGCTTCCTCTCACAGATTAGGTTAGAACACAAATCATTACATAACTCGTTATGTAATTTCTTTCCATTCTTTCTTTTGTTCCTTCTTTATTGTCCTCTTGCTATTACATTATCCTGCTTCTTCTGTTTCTTTGAATCTCTTTATTACTTTTACATTTGCAGTTTCTGCTGTGTTCCAAACTTCTGCCTTCTACAGAAATTTCAGCAACTGAACTGCTCTGCGTCTGCGCAGATACTTCAGTAGGCTGGGGGTATCATTATAACTCGTGCAGTTAAAATTTCGACTGCGGAAATAAGTCCCATGTATCGAATCCTTCACATCTCTCGAACCATTGCACTTCTCACTCCAGAACAGACATTCTGTTCACAAAAACGTTGTAATGATATTGGCGGGCTGACACTGGCCCGAGGGAGTCTTTAGGTCGTAAAGCCCAACACCCGCGGCTCCGGTATATCCGTTCATTGCAGCGTGTTTCTGTTACCTGCCTCCAGGTGCTGCAATGCGATAACCTGTCTCTGCCGTTCAGGGACGAGAGTTTTGACGCCGTTCTCTCAGTGGCCGTGGTCCACCACTTCGCGACGACGGAACGCAGGGTGGGGGCACTGCGGGAGTTGGCAAGAGTCCTTCGGATCGGCGGTCGTCTCATCATCACCGTCTGGGCCATGAAGCAGCGACACAGAAAGGTGAATAGATATTGGTTCGATGCCCGTAAGGTAAATGTATGTTTCGCGATAATTGTTCAAAAGCAGACTGAAATAATACATGTGATGTCTGAATGATAAATAATTATTTAAGATGTTGTTGCATGATCAGTCGATGATCAAATCATGAAAACTCGCGTTCATGTTTATGGCTGACTTTTATACGTTGCACTACATGTAAATGGATATGGGCAAACAATTTGGTGTTTGGGTGATGTCACAGAAAAAAAACCCCGATAGCTATTCTACTATTCATTCAAAACGCATTTGGCTATCAACTAGGCGGCATGACTTTGCTATTCAGAACTTAAAACTGAGACAAATGTTTTCAGAGTGGCGTGACCAAGAATTCCGACTCGACCGTTTCGAGCCGCTCGTATAGGTCGCTCACTAGCCAAATAGTTTACCCATATCAAAACGTACCGATTTCTTCATGTTCTTTTTAAATTTATTGTTAGTGTTAAACCATTAATTAATGCTTAATTGTAAAACACTGAATCTGATTAATAATTATGGAATGGAAGTACAACGCAAGTAAGGACTTTATAGAAATGGAATATGTGGTTCATAGTTCGAGTCCCAGGACGTGCTCGTCCCTTGGCACAGGCCCCAGCATCTTAGCACTCCTTCGCTGGAGCTCACATCGACCACGACAACCACATCCGAAGATGACGGACCACCTCCGTACCACGCCTACACACAGACTTCGGACAGCGACTCCTGCCGGTCCGCGGGGTGAGTGTCACACTACACGCGGTTGCCAAAGAAATGCCAACATCTACGGGCGTGAGCGACCGTTGCGAGCCGCTCGAAACGGTCCCGGCGGAAGTCATGACAACTTGACGCAGTGCTGAAAACATCGACCTTGGGTTTCAGTTCAAGTCGTACAGTCGAGTCCACAGTTAGATGCGTTTTAAGTTACCGGTAGAACCGCCACCGATTTCCTTGAATAGTGACACTACCCATACGCAAATTTGTTTGCCGATACTAATACTGTAACATAGCACAGTGATCGGCAAATTTATCATTGGCGCAGGCTGTATTGGTTATTTAAATCTTTGTTTGGGGCCGCAGAAAAAACGAAACGGTATTTATTTAACGCTAAGAGAAGATATGTAAATTCACATGAAAATGGAAAATAACTGTATTTTTCTATGTAACTGTGTCTATTTTAAAGACGTGTTTTTACTTAATATTTTAGATTTCAAGTCGTTAATTTAAAAAATTCCAGTTATTAATACCACAATAATTTGCATATTGTTTTGTTAAATCCCATATGGTTTGAACAACGGAACAATATACATTAGGGAAATTACATGATTTTAAATTTCCAAGTTCCACAGGATATTCTCTATCAAGTAAGTAAGTACGTAAGTCTACGGTCTCTATATTAACACCCAGTTCTTCGGAAATCATTTTGACAGAAAGATATAGATAATATCGTACTGGAGTTCAATTCAAAGTAAAAGAAATTTTAAACATGATTTTGGTCTTGACGGGATTTTTTTCTTTGCCCACAGTCTAGATTCAACAACGACAAAAACTAGGACTGATGCTTCCGTAGAAGTAGTAAGGGAAGGGACCTCGTGACAGCAAACCTCAGGGTCTGTTCGCTTCCTGTTTGCAGACTCGGCGCTGGCCAGAGGAAAAGAGGCCGAAGCAGACACAAGGGACGATCTGTCGACCCAGCACGTTCCCAGAGCAGTTCCAGCTTGTCTAGCCCCAATGAGACGTGCTACAGCTTCGTCAGAAGGGCGCTCCAGGTACCAACTCACTCATACAAGCGAATATGGTACATATCTGTGACGTTACTTTTGTCCCACTCTGTACTTCCTAACTTTCCTTCGTATCACCCTGTTCTAACCTTACCTCACATGGTGTCGAGTGGTAAATTGAATATTACAAGATAATATGTGACCTTCCTTTGTTTTTAATGTTGTCGTGCGTTTAAGTAGAGACACGTTTTAGTCAGTGCGGGCCAGGAGGCCTTTTGAAAACAAACATGGCTGCTGATAATTCAAGCTTAAAAGAATTTTTAGCAGATACGTAAAAGACAAATCATGGGGGATGTAAAACAACGTGGAAAGGTGCAATTTGCATTAGTTTATATTTCGCGTCCGTCAGTGAGCTTATTGTCCACGTATTTCGTTAGGCACAGAATCCAATAATGGCGAATGGTCCGCCAGACCACTGAAATTTGAGGAATGTGAAAGAAATGTTTCCTTTCTTTACACAACAGCGGCATATTATTATTATTAAACACATTAGAATTGTGGTACTATTGTTGGGGGAGCTTAATAACAGCATTTCTAGACAATCTAACTTATACACTACGATTCACCAAATGGACTTGGAATTCTATGCTTTATGAAGTTTGCCAACAGGATAGATATTTGAGATATTAATATTTTAAAATTAAAATTAAGTATAATTTTTAATTGATAATTTCGTACATTATTATCCGTTTCTCCCCCTGGTTAATTAACGATATCTTTGGTCTAGTTGCTACGCTTTTCTAGAGCAAAATCAGTCCATGCTCACTGCTTTGTCGTTACTTACTAGCAGTTTAATGCATAAAGTAATCACTATACAGTGCCACAGCGGCAAATAATAGAACCTTCTTAAACAAAATATATAAGCATATGAACAGGAATGTGTAATAAGCAAATTTATTATTTCTTTAGAATTTAATGTCCATTTCCGTAATTCTTTTGGTCAGCAGCTATAAATGTAAATCCTAACGCATAATCAAATCAAAATCTGTTCGTACGTTTAAAGACAGAACAGGGCAGAGACAGACAAGGCCTATCAGTAGAGACAAATGAAACACACATTTCGTTCTAAAACACCATTCTTCAATCTTAATGGCTTTCGCGGTAATTAAAAGTGATATTTTTCTGATTTTGATCGAATTCTGTATTACAGTTCGTTGCCCGTTCATTCTCAACCTACTTCAAGCTACAAGCGAGCATCAAAAGTTTGCATCCACGAATTGAAAAACTAGAACAAATAAAAGAGGAACGCGCTATAATTCTTACGCTCTGTGTCCTAATTAGTTTCGCTCGTGGTTTTATGTTGATAGTTAGGAATGGTAAATGTCGGTTTTGTGAAAAGCGCTCATAATCAAAGAACGACATTTTCATTTGAACATAAACTAATATTAATACAAAATTCAGAAGAAAACACACAAGTTGAACTGCGCGTGAGATTATTGATACTATGGACATTTGTAAAACTGTAGTTTTTAAATTACATATTTCTATTTATTCAACAGAGAACAGACCTAACAACTGAAGTTATCAAATATTGTTTCAAAACATGATTTGTGCATTTACCGTACACTAATCTTGTGGCGTATGCTGTAATTGTATGATGTGCATTATCCCACTATACAATGAAGCTCTGTTCGCATTACAACGTTCTATTGCTTCTATTGCCATCTGGTAATTGTGTTTGCTAACAACATGGACGTTCTAGCATCACGGCCCTTAGAACTCGGGTATTAAGACATGTGAATAAAATGTTTGGACATGCAATTTTATGCAAAACGGCTCAAAAATATTTATTAAAGTTTCAGTGTTTGGCGAGCGTTACTTCGAACATGGCCACTTTCACAAACTTTCTGTTCTATTATTCTGAAGTTTCATTCAAACACAAACTTACATACAGCGAATCTGAGAGGGGTTCACGCAAAGTATTTTTCTTCTTATATTTTAAGTTTCAGAAGGAACAAGAATACCTATATTATCGAAATGAACAATCTCAAAACTTTGTAAATCCAACGCTTGCATTC